CACCCGGAGAAAACCCACGCATGCACGGAGAGAACATGCAAACTCCACCCAGAGGGCCCCTGGACCGGGGTTTGAACCAGGGACCTGCTTGCTGAGAGGCAGCAGCTCTACCAGTTGCGCCACCGTGCTGCCTCCTGTCATTCCAATCCAACTTTATTAATAAAGCACTTTAAAAACACCCATACAGGACCAAAGTGCTGTACAGACAAGTTAAAAAGCACAAAAAGACATAAACAGCTATGCAATAAAAAAAAAAAAATTAAAACTGTAAATACAATAGTAAAATCAACATCTTACATGGTGTCAAAAGCCTTGGAAAAAAAGAGAAGTTTTAAGATGGGATTTAAAAACAGGCAGCGAGGAGGCCTGTCTGATGTGGAGAGGCGGTCTAGACCGTTCCATAGTTCAGGAGCTGCTACAGAAAAGGCACGGTCACCTCTAATCTTGAGATTTGTTTTGAACACACTCAGGAGCAGCTGATCAGCTGACCTGAGAGCATGTGAGGGGGTATAAGGCTGTAGCAGCTCGGAGAGGTAGGGTGGGGCAAGACCATTGAGAGATTTAAAAGTAAATAAAAGAATCTTAAAACTGATCCTAAAATGTATGGGCAACCAGTGAAGTGAGGCTAAAATGGAGGAAATGTGCTCGTGTTTACATGTGCCAGTTAAGACGTGCAGAAGCATTTTGCACCATCTGAAGACGGGCAATGGAGGAGCTACTAACCCCCACATAAAGAGCATGACAGTAATCCAGCCTAGTAGTTACAAAGACATGACTTACTGTTTCAAAGTGCTGATGTGAAAGGACAGGTTATATTTTAACTAGCTGCCGTAACAGGAAAAAGCTCAATTTAACAACTGAACTTATCTGGCTGTCGAGCTTAAGATCCATATCCATTTTCACCCTGAGATTTGTAATGGTGGGCTTGATGAACTGGGCCAAGAGACCCAGATCTACAGGAGGGGGGCCAGTGGTACCACCAAAAACCATCACTTCTGTCTTTTTCTCATTGAAATTTAAAAAGTTTAGAGCCATCCAGGCTTTTATGCCGTCAAAGACACATGAGCAACGGATTGACAGAGTGGAAATCTGTTTTTTTTTTTAGAGGAACATAAATCTGACTGTCATCAGCATAGATTAATCATTTAGCAAGTTTGGCTACAAACCCAAAGAATAGTTAAACTTCTACAAATGTTGACAATGATCCCAACATACAAACCTGATCTGCAGAGTCGAACACAATCTTCTCCACCAGTTGCTGCTTTCATCTGGTCAGCTGAGCTGCTGGTTGGAAGATCTCCATCTTCCACTTGGTGCTGATGAAGCTGAGAGAACAGAGGTTTCTCTTCATCATCCTCACTCTTCAAAGGAACTGCAGTGAAGGAGAACCTGGTGTCATCAGTCTCCTCCTTCACACTGAGCTGCTCTACATCCAGATTGATCCTCAGTTCCTCCTCTTCCTCCTTTATGTTGAGGGTCTCTGGGTCCTTCTGGTCCACACCACAACTCCATTCTTCAGGAGCTTCTTCTTTAATCAGCAGTGCTGATTCAGCACCGTCTGCTGAACATCTGCAGGGAACACTGAAACACATGAACAATAAGGACAGTTATAACTTTATATTCACACAAACATCACTGGTGTTATCACTGAGTTCACTGATCAGCTCAAAACAACATCTAATGCTGGACGTCAGAAAAATGTCCTGAAACTAAATCCATAAAAGAGAGAGGTCCTTATGGCTGACTCCCAGAAGATGGTAAAACATGTAGAGCTTTCAGTCGGTTCTTTAAGGAACAAATTAAACATGTTCTAGAGTCTTCTAAACTTGTTCCAGATTTTTTATCAGCTGTGAGAAAATGCAAAAATATGATCATGTTAGGAGAACGTATTTCCACAAACATCCATTACTCTAAGAGCCTTTTTTACTCGTCTCCATAATAAACCAGCTCCAGACTGAACAACCTTAGCTACAGACTTCTAACAAGAAGCAAGAAATATGATCAGATTACATAAAATTAGCCTCCCTACACTGATTCAGAATTGATGTGACAATTTTGAAATAACTTTAAAAACTTTTAATAACCTTCTGTCAACTAACAGTTGTGGTCAAAACTTTACATACACTGATCATGAGCAAGAAAGTTAAGGAAATCGGACGGCCGATTTATCGGTGCACCCCCCCTAGTAAAAACGTGAGCGAACAAGAACTCTACAAAACTAACTCTGTTCTCTCAGGACACATGAGACAAAATTACAACAAACTACTGTTAGAAACTCATAGAAGGAAATCCAAACTGTTTGATTCAATCCAACATTTTTCAGTCAGGTCATCTGGACAGTTTCTTTTTTTGCGCTGAAAAAATGGTTGATTATTGAGCATGGACTTTGTTGTTTTCAATCAGTTTGACACGACTGTCAACAAGGAAGAGGGCCGGCAATGGAGGAGGGGGCGTACCAAAGAGACCATCTTATCACAAGCAGAACTGGTTTGTTCCGCTTTGGAGTAAGCTGTTGGGGGAAGAATCAGTTTTGTTGTGTTTCCTTGACTGATAAAGCCTTCTGGATCGAAGGCGAAACGTTTCAGCACAAAATAAGAAACTGTCCAGATGACCTGACTGAAAAATGTTGGATTGTATACCTGGATTATTGAGCATGGACTTTATTGTTTGATCCAATCATACAGTTTAGAGGCAATGTTACCAAATACAAAGAAAAAGGATGTTCCTTGTGAATTTGAAAAAAAAACTAACTAATTTTCTAAAATAATATATCTCATTTTTCTCATTATTGGGTATTTAACAAATATAAATAATTTTGAGAATCCTAAGTGACTGGTTTAGTCAGATTTAATGTCAGACAGTTAAACAAAAATATGGCAATGACACTTTTTTAAAAGTGTGTTATTTTAGCGTTACAGCCCCAATAAAATTCAGCTCAAGGACTCTTAAATTGCACCTTGATAACGAGCTTTATGAATCCACCAACAAGGTTCTGGATGGATTAAAAAAAATAGAAAAGTTGCGAAAGTGCGACAGCGCATGATCCACACGGTCCTCTAAAGATGCTAAGTCACTTAGCTACAAAAACTGCAGCTAACATCATCACACTAAATAAGATTAATGTATTTATACAAACCTGATTTGTGCAGACGAACTCTGGTGTTCAAAACAGCATGTAGGAATTTTGTTTTGTTTCATTTTTTTAATTTTAAACGAGACCGTTCCTCTTCATAAACTGGGCCTGTTTTGTCCAGAAACTCGCAACATTTCTTCACCTGCTGCTTCCAGAGTCTTTATATTAGCCTGCTGTCTCCACATCTGTTAGCTTTCATTGATCTAAAGTTTCCTTAACAGTTACTGAGCCGAACTCGAAGCTGGATTTACTGTAAACATTACAGAAACTTTATAAATCGCTGGAAAGTAGAAACAAAATGCTTCGAGCTAAAGCTAAGGCGCAAAAAAAAAAAAAAGCAACAGTGACGTAATGCGTTCAGTCTGAGCTTGATTGGTTTGGTCTGAGTCATGTGATCAATGGCGTCTGACGTTCCGTACACTCAACTTACGTCCCTGATTTCATATAAAATTCAAAGGTGTTTTGATTTCGACTTTAAATATGATATATATTTATTTATATTGCTATAAATAATTATAACAAAGGATAACGAACCAGCGAGCGGCATACTGCGTGACACGGAGCCACTTCATACGCACAGTGTGACGACCCTGCAGTCCTCGATCATTTGAGGTCATGTGTGAGAACAGAATTTCGCCCAAGACCATACGTCCGGCTGGACGTCCCATTAAGTTCGATTCATTAGTAAACTGTCCTTAGTAAGTGAGAGTTTGAATGGTTGTTTATCTTGTTTGTCTCTGATGGAATAAAGACTTGTCCAGGTGTTTCCAGTGTTGCCAGGTGAGAAATGTAGGATTATCGTACTAGAGACATAAAATGATCGTGTTTTGAGGGAAATTATCGTACACCCATCATAACCAAAATAACAAATCTATTGATACACTATAGTAGTGATGGGTCCGCTTCCAAACCGGCTCTGCTTCTTCTTCTTTTCTTTTTTTCATTTCCTCACTCATGGGGCGGGCGCAGCGGACTATTCAGCCAATCATGACTGTTACTGAGGCCAGGATTCTGCGGTCTACACTCATCTCCAGGCCAGCGGTCACTCTTTCAAGGATGAAGATGTTCACATCCTGGACAGAGAGGAACGATGGTTTGAGAGAGGAGTAAAGGAGGCCATCTTTGTGAAAAGAAATCGTCCATCATTAAACAGAGGTGGAGGTCTCCGTGTTCAACTGTCCCCCTCTTACAATGCTGTTATTGCCAGTAGCCTCCTGTGAATAGTAAACAGTCATCAGTGTGCTAATGACCCATCGTTAGGCTGATGGTCTTTCTTGACCATGTGAGCAGCTGGTTTTGGTTGTCAGCAGCAAAACTGGTTGATCCACTCTGAGAAGGTGCTATTTATAAGACTGAGCTGAATACAGCACCTCAGACTGAGGAAGTCTTTCGGATGAGAGACAAAACGTATCTACTTTTTTTTTTTTTTTTGCTTTGTTTTGTTTTTTGAATGTCCAGAGGACCAGATTGAACTTTTTTGGATTTTTCTACCTGGATTATTGAGCATGCATCAGGATAATCATGCTGTTGTTTTGAGGTAAACGCAAACACGTAGGTAACATTTAGAAAAGCACGATTGGCTGGAATTTCCAGCCAATCGTGCGTCTGTTTGTGGACACAGATGCCTTCAGGGTTCACAAAAAACTCCGACAGACAGTTGCGAGAGGCTGATGACAACCGGTTACAACCACACATTCACGGAATGGTCAAATTATCGTATATTTGGCCTTTTTTGGGATTATTGATCGTGCATCGTACAAAGGGCAAAATTGTCATACAAATACGATAATTATCGTACACCTGGCAACACTGAGTGTCTCCCACCTCTCAATGACTGCTGGAGATGGACACAAGCTCCCTCCATGACCTGGAAAGGAGAAGTGGGTAAAATAAAATATAATTAAAACTTATTTGAATATATATTATCATCCTACTTACTAACTTAAAGAATCCGTTAAAGGAAAGAAAGATTCTAAATGGAAAATAACACCATACCTTAATTCTACAGACAGCAATGTCTGTAGACATGTGTTTTTTATGTGTTTTTTGTATTATGAAGTCCACTTGTTATTAATCCTTCTCTTCTGCTACTCCCTCCTGTTCTCAGTTCTCCAACTCACTTTTGAATTCTGTGAACACTTAGCTGTCTTCTTTTCATTGTTGTTGCCACTTTTCTTATACTTTCTGTTTAACAAACTTTCTTGCTTCTGATTTATTTATGGATATTGTAAAGACAATTTGATCCTTTCTCTCAGTTTTTACTGCCCTGTCTGCTGCTTCATTCCCTTTGACCACAGTATGCGCTGGTATCTATAAAAAGTTCCGGTTAATCATGTGTGTTGTTCTGCATCTTGTTTGTTGCACGTATATCTAAAAAAAATGTCTGCTCGGCTGTCTGCAAACTGATTACCGGTAGTGTTGGACTTGAATCTGAACATGATTGTTTTTAACCGTTTTGCATCTTTAACCCACTGTGCTGGTAAACATCCTTACACTTTACAGGTTTATCTATCCATCATCTGTACTCACTTCTTTCTTTTCAGGTCATGAGGGTCGACTTACAGTTATAAAAAAGACTGAAAAGACATGACTTTTTCTGGAAGGGTTGTAGGGAAAAAGCTTCTTGTTATGAAATAAAACATGGCAGCATGACAGGTTTGTAAAGTTTCATCAGAATAAAGAAGATTTCTGGAACAATGTCCTTCAGACAGATGAGATTAGAGATGTTTATCTATGATGCACAGCACTATGTTTAAAACCAAACAAATACAGCAGACCACCACTATCATCTCATACCAACTGTAAAGCACGATGGTGGAGGAATGCTGGTTTGGGCTCCTTTCATTCATTAATGTGACCATGAACTCTTCAGTTGACCATAAGTTTTTGGAGTCAAATGTGAAGTCATCTGTCCAAGAGCTGAAGTTTAAACCAAACTGGGTCATGATACAAAAGGTCAGTGACCCCAAACACAACAGAAAATCTACAACAAAACAACTGAAAAAGAAAACAATCAAGGTGTTGCTTTGGTCCAGTCAAAGTCCAGAACTGAACCTGATGGTAACATCGGGGTGGGACTTTAAGAAAACTGCAGAAACTAATGTCTGTAAATCTCAATGAACTGAAGCAACATTGAAAAGAATGAACTTAAATTCCTGAGACTGAAAGAAACAAACAAATAATGACGTGGTGGAATCTGGTTTCTATTTATTTATTTCCACTTTAAGTATGAAAAACATACAGTGAATTCAGAAAGGATTCACAGCGCTTCACTTTTTCCACCTTTTGTTATAGCCTTATTCCATATATTAATATTGCCTCAAAATTCTACACAATACACCATTATGACAATGCGAAAAAATATTTTTTGAGGTTCTTACAAATTTATTAAAAATAGAAAACCAAGAAATCACACTTACATGAGTATTCACAGCCGTTGTTTTAATACTTTGATCTACCTTTGGAAGCAATTACAGCCTCAAGTCTTTTTGAATATGATGCCACAAGCTCAGCACACTTATCTTTAGGCAGTTTTTCCCATTCTTCTTTGCAGTACTTTTCAAGCTCCATCAGGATGGAGAGGTCTGTGCACAGTCATTTTTATTTATTAACCTTTATTTAACCAGGCAAATCTCATTGAGATCACAGATCTCTGCTGCAAGGGAGGCCTGGCCTGAAGGCACACTAACATGCACTTACAACATAATCTGTGGGAGGAAACCGGAGTGCCCGGAGAAAACCCACGCAAGCACGATAAAGAACATGCAAACTCCACACAGAAAGACCCCAGGTCTAACCGGGGATTGAACCCAGGACCTTCTTTCTGTGAGGCAACAGTTCTAACCACTGAGCCATTGTGCCAGATTTTCAGATATTTCCATAGATGTTCAGATTCAAGTCTGGACTCTTGACTTGACCACTCCAGGAGATTCACAGAGAGGTCCTGAAGCCCCTCCTTTGAGATTTTGGCCGTTGTCCTCCTGAAAAATTAACTGTTGCCAGTCTGAGGTCATTACTTTACTTTTACATTATTTTACATCACTTTATAATGTAGCAGTTTTTATTTTTTTTATTATAATTTATTCCATGTACTTTTCATTTTAAATGGTTTTTATATGGTTGTCTATTGCTGTTTGTACTTCATCTGTGTTCTTTGTTTAAAACAGGCCTCTCTTGCAAATGAGTTCTCGAGGCTCAATGAGACTAACCTGTATAAATATAGGTTGAATGAATGAATGAATGAGGTCAACTGCACTCTGGAGCAAGTTTTCATCCAGGATGTTTCTCTACATTGCTGCACTTATCTTTCCCTCTACTGTAATGCTGCCCTGTAACCTCCTGTCGACAAGCGCCCTGTCAACGTCAGTAATCTAGAGGAAACAATGGTTTCTGTATATTTATTTCCACTTTAATCATGAAAAACATAACATTCAATCTGAGACGTAAAAGAACAAAGGATGAAGAAAGCAGTCACCTGATTTTATTCTTTCTAATTTTCAACTGAGTCTGATCTGCTGCTGCTTCATGTAAAACGTCACGTCAGAGATGGAAGACATTAAAGCTTTTCAACAAAAATGCAAATAACTTTCTCAAACATTTCTACATGGACGACTAATTTGTTCTCAAATACAATTGAACAACTTTTAAATAACAGGATATACAAATGGGATCCTCTTTATGAAGAATTTTGTTATCCATCCATCCATTATCTTTAGCTGCTTCTTTCTTTTTGGGTCGCAGGTGCCCATGTCCAGCCATCACTGTGTGAGAGGCGGGGTACACCCTAGACAGGTCGCAAGTCCATCACAGAGCTTTGTTATAACATGCATTTAAAATTGAAAATAAAAAATCTTGATTGCATTTATAGATGAATCAACACATAAATGTTTGCATAATAAACAACAAGGAAACATTCTACAGTATGCCTTGTACAATCTGTTCTTTAAAGAAAACATACATTTTACTATTATGGGAAAGTAAATACTAAAGTTATAAGAAAAAATTGTAAAATTACTAATTTTATACCATTATTTTCATTAATAATCGTTATGCACACAAAAAATAAAATGTTAAAAAACTCACACCTGGCATCTCAGATGCTTGAGTGCTAATGTGAAAAAATATTATTTGATAGCGGGATTATTAAAAAAATGCTCTAATGGCTTGCCATAGTAAGTTTCAAGTCCCTCAGTTCATGACCTACTTGGCTTGCCAAAACGGCACCTCTCATTGCTCTTCATTGACAGTGATAATTAGGATCACAAAGCTTTTCCACACAACTGACTTGAAATAAACAGGCAGGTCTTCAACTCCTCTCTTTCATCTGAACAAAATATTCATGCTTTGCTTTGGTGTGGAGAGCTTCAGATGGTATGTGCCTCTACTTATCATAGCAGTTAAGAAAATGAAGTTAAATAAATCGTGGGCCTGCTTCTAGAAGTTGAACGACTACACAATTTTTAAATAATAAAAGTAGAGTAGTTGATGACATCATAGGATCTCAAAGATGCAAAAATAAATAAATAAATAAATAAAACTGCAAAAAAAACAACAACGTAATTCGTGATTTACAAAAAAAGACCAACAAAACATTGAGAGCATATATTATGCTCCTACCATTTATCATACTGCAAATAAGTCACAGGAAAATCAAAACTATTAGTTATTATTATTAAGCTGCAAAAGTGAAAGAAACATGCGGCACGTAAAAAAACGCAACTAAAAACAGTGGGGCAGACGACCACCCCGCACACTGTGGGCGGTGCTGCGCATTAGATTTAGTTTTAGAGATTAATATGTTTATAGGTTTTTATAGGTTTAGAGATGAATATTTTTGCTTTTTGTTTGTGAAACAAGGTCAGAAGAAAGCTGGTTCTGGTTTGGTTGATTGGACACCGTGTTACACCATATTCTGTGACCTGCAACAGTGCATGCAACACCGCCCCCTACGGTGACACTATATACGGTGGTCACAGAATATGGTGCAACACCGGTTCGTAACGAGCTCCAAACAGTCAGGAAGTTGATTCATTTTCTGTTTCCTTACGGTAGTTGAACCAGAAGATTCATCTTTAGTGAAATATTTCCATACTATTGATGCATTTCTACCCATTTGCCAAGATTGGGCCTGCTCCACGCCATCCGTCTGCTTGGAGGAATCCATTTTGTAGCTTCTACACCACCCGGTGCAGATCACATGACACAATGACGTAACTGCGATGTAATGACGCAACTGCAAATACTCGACGTGAAATTAAAAAACTTGCGAGATGTCCTAGGAATTGATGCGTCGATTACTCGAGTAGTCTGTTAAAGCCCTACCTGCTTCTAGAGGAGAGGTGATCGCCTGTGATCAACAATACTTTTCATTAGCATCTATAATGTATTCTTGAATATTTTGGGTTGGTTCAAGCACACACATTGCTGTAAATAAAAACTACTGCAGTTATGGAAAACAATAACTCAAACAATAGTTTTTACAAAAAGCGCCAGAGCTGTTGTTTATAATTTGAGTGAACACTTAAGTGTCATTAGAAACTGTCTTAACATTTGAAAGTGAACCGTTTTCTGTTCCTGTGTGGATTCTAAGGTGTCTATTTAAATTTGACTTGTGTCCAAACTTATATCCACAAAAATCACAAGAAAATGGTTTCTGTCCGGTGTGGATTCTCACGTGTGCGTTTAATGTTGACTTTTGTCCAAAACTTTGTTTACAAATATCACATGCAAATGGTTTTTGTCCTGTGTGGATTAGCATGTGTTTGTTTAAAACTGACTTGTATCCAAACTTATTTCCACAAACATCACAAGAAAATGGTTTATATCCTGTGTGAATTCTCGTGTGCGAGTTTAAAGTTGATTTATCTCTGAAGTTTTGTCCACAAATGTCACAAGCAAATGGTTTTTGTCCTGTATGGATTCTCGTGTGT